GAAAAAAAAAAAAAAAAAAAAAAAAAAAGTGGCAGCGGCGGGAAGAATTTCTTTAGGGAAGCATAAATGCTTTAATACAATCCTTCATGCCTAAAAATACTTCTGAAATATGACAGAAGAAAAACTTTTATATGGTCATAATTTTTAGTTCTAATTTCCTCTCATCCCTCCTTATTTTCTTCTCTTTTCATCATAGAATTGCATCTAAGGTACTGCACTAATCTTTGGGTCTTTTGTCCCCTAAGTTAATTAACGTTCTGGACTGAACCGCAGCGCACCCACACAGACCCGTACACGGAAGCTGTGTCCCTCAGTGTGACCATGTGCAGGAGGCCTTGAAGTGGGCTGGGGTGGGAGGGGCAGAGCCCTGAGAGAAGAGCACCGTGAAGTCTGCATAGACAGGAGGCAGGCAGGGAGCCAGGAGGAGCAGGCCATCTGCAGGCCAAGGAGAAACCAGTCCTGTCGACACCTTGGTCCAGATCGCAGGCTCCGAACCATGAAAAGGTATCTGACACGGCAACCTCGCAGTCGGTAGTGTTTTGCTAATGGCAGCCCGCATGGCCGCTGTGTTGTATCAGGCAGACATTGAAGAGCAACGCTCTCTTCTTTAGCGTTCAAGGTGCGTATTTTGTGTCAAGGGTCTAACTTATGTACTAAAAATATGACTTCTGTTTTGGGAGACAAATTTCCCAGTGAGATCCCATTAGGAAGAGTGAATTGTCATCCTGTCCCAGTTCTACTTTTTTCTCTCCCGACCGCTCTCCCCCTCTTTCTCCCCCCACCACCACCCAGCTGGTTTTCATTTTCTCCTCTTGATGTTTTGGGTGAATTTGCTCTGCTCATTTTTTTTTTTTGAAACATGCCTGTATCTTTACAAAATTGGCCCCGATTATGGCCGTGTTTTTTGGAGCCTGTAAGAGGAAGGCAAACAACGGCCCTCTCAAGACTGATTAAGTTTCCCGGAAGGCAGAAAGCTGTGTCCCCTGTCTGAGGACAGATTCTGGCTCCCTCTGACTCCCCGCCCATAGGGTATGGAGTTTTCTGTCCTTGTCACGAGCAGGGGTGTGAGGGGAAGAAAGCAGTAAGGTCAGACTGGCCTGTGGTACAAAGCCCTGACATTCAGAGAATGCCTTTGTATTTTCACGAGTCCATCTTTGCAGCACATAGTGGTTTACATGTGCCATGGGGAGTTGGTTCGTGTGTGAAACACACCTTAATTCTTGCTACGTCCCCTTCCCCTCCTCTCCTTCCTCTCCCTCCATCTCTTGATTCACTTCCCATTTGCTCTTAATTTATTTATGCTCTGGATTTCTCATAGGAGAGAAACCATGAGATATTTAATTGTGTGTGAGCCCATGTTTACAGTAGCACAGTGTATAACAGCTCAATCTTGGAAGGTGCTTACGTGCCCATGAACAGATGAGTGGATAAAGAAAGCGCGGTGTCTACACACAGTGGAGTGCTGCTCTGCTCTCAACAAGGATACGTTTGAGTCGTTTGTAGGAAAGTGGTTGTATAGACTGTATTTCCAATCACTACGCAAATGTGAAACGAGCTCCATAGATCACATTAAACACACAAGAGTTTGAGACAAAGCTTGGGTCAACAGTTGCACTAACACCAAAGTGTCCATGGCTGTTATGAAGTTTTGGTGCTTTGAAATTAGCCTTTCACCTTTTCTTTAGATCATTATATCTTTAGTAGGAGAGAGCGGGAGAGGGAGAGGGACAGGGCGAGGGTGATGGCACAATCCCTTCTCTTTTCCTCTTGCACAATCACAGCAAGCAGAAGCTGAGGAAGTGAGGTCACTAACCCAAGGTCATGTGATTGATCATGGCAGACCTGGGCTTCTGATTTCCAACTCGGGCATCGTCATGATTGTACTGAGACATATTTCATTATTTACTGGGAGAGTAGTTTTCCAAAAGCAGCGCAAGAGCACATGCACTTCGTGGGACGGTTTGTGTAGTTGTCTGATACGTCTGCTTTGAGAACTTAATTTCTCACAGTGAGTTACAAAGGGAAAGGGTTCACTGCCCAAGGATACACTTCGGGAGAGCTGTGGGTGTGTGACTGAACAGCATGGAAGCAAGTGGTGGCCAGGCAGTGTAATCCCTCCCTCCCTTTCAGGAACGCGAGACGGTGGCCTCTGATGATAGACCCTCAGGGCCAGGCCAACAAGTGGATCAAGAACATGGAAAAAACCAACAGCCTTCAGCTCATCAAGCTAAGTGACCCTGACTACGTCAGGACACTGGAAAACTGCATCCAGTTCGGCACTCCCGGTAGGTGCAGAACCCCAGGCGACGCTGTGGAAATTGGGCTGGGAAGCGCAATAGACCAAGGCCGGCCCGTACTGGTCCTGGTCGGGAGTGGGGACTGTGAGTGCCTGTCTTTTCTGTTTGGTTCTTAGTTTACTGGTACATTTTAGGCATACAGTGCAGTTGCATTCATCGCTGGGATCTCGCACTTCACGTGTCTTATCTTGCTTCTGATTTTTCCCCACTCCCCAGCCCTCCTTTCAGCCGCTCCACCTTTCCCTGTTTGCAAAGGTATTGTTTCCATGTTGTTCCTTTTCTCGTATTTGTTTGCCTTTTTACCTTTCCCCCACCCCAGCCTCACTTCCCCTACTCCTTTAGACCTTTTCTTCCTATTACACAATGTCAGTTATACATTTTGATCTTTATTCACACTTTTAGTTTATCACACCAGATAAACTAAACCATTCGGTGTTTACACATGTGACTTAATTTCATTTAATTATGGCTTTCATGTGCATCCACTCAGCTATAAAAGTCTCTAGTTTCTCATTCTTTATGGCTGAGTAGTACTCCATTAAAAAAAAAAACACACACACCTTCATCCAGTCTCCAGTTGATGGGCAATTTGGCTGTTTCCAAGTTTTAGCTATGAGTGGACACACAGACACATTATCCTGTTGATTCAACTGATGTTCTTAAATTAACTTTAAAATTGACCTAAATTTATACATAATTTTGGGTGCCGTGTGACATTTTGATATGCATGTATGTTGTATAATGTTCAAATCAGGATAAACACATTTATGTTCTCAAGCATTTATCACTTCTTTATGATAAAAACATGCAAAATCCTTTCTTCTAGCTTTTAAAAAAATTTACAGTACATGGCAGAGTGTGGTGGCAGGATTATGTGCTTGTAATCCCAGCACTCGGGAGGCTGAAGCAGGAGGATCGCTGGGAATTCAAGTGCCTCTGCCATTTAGAGTTTAGAGGGGCTGGGGATTTGGCTCAGTGCTGCTGCCTGCCTTGCAAGTGCAAGGTCCTGAGTTCAATCCCCACTACCAAGCAAAAAAACAAAACAAATTATGGCTCTCAGTGGTGGGGAAGAAAGCTAATTTTACTTTACTACTGAAATGCAGTATGGAAGAACAGAGTGTTTTAGGCTGCACAGAGTGCAAAGTAAGGAGACACATCATTTCAGGAAAATTTAGGTTTCATATGTGGATTGTTTACTGGGTCTGATGTTTCTTTCATTTGCATGTGTGTTTATTCATTCAAGCAACAGACATTTATTTTGCAGCTGTCATGGACCAGACACCACAGTAGGCATCCCCTTCACAGAAGATACAAATTCCTTTTGTCGGTGTGGCCACTATTTTAGGATTTCTGCCACCTACAACTGAACCTAATCATCAGTAGTAATACACCCAACAGAGGAAAAACTGGCAAGTCTATTAACCTAACTTCCAGAAGATAAAAATGACTTAGCCAAAAAGCAGCTAAAAAACACTTTGTCCAAAGTACAGATTTTAACAGTATTTTTTACCCATCAGACTGTAAAAGTCGCAATGCTAAGAGTGTCACAGGGACATTTGGAGGGGCAGAAGGGGCTGCCCTCCCCGCCACATCTGCATCCCTGCTTGGCTGTTCATGAGCTGGCATAGCTGGCTTTCTCTTAGCCCCTTGCGCTGGATTCACTGTAGAACAAGGGTTTTTAATGAGAAGAGCCGGTGTCAGCATGATGTGCGGCCTCGGCAAGTACAGCGATATGATGTAAAATTAGGCTTAAAACAGATGGCAGAATGAAGGCCCTTTGCAACTCCGAAATGAAACAGCTTTGGAGGAGAACAGTTTGGCACTATAAATAGCTTTTCAAATGCTCGTAACACCTGAACGTGGGTTCCCCTTCTAGGACTCCAGCCTGATAAGGAACCAGAAATGAACACAAAGGTTTGTTCCAAAGGGTGTTCCCCGAAGCATTATTAATAATTGTGGAAAATGAGGCAACCTAAACAATGGAAGATTAACATATTTAATACAATGTAATGTACTCGGATTATTTCTCCCTGAAAAGTAATCATTTTATGCAAGTAGAAAATGAAAGTGAGCTTTAAAAGCATCAGACATACTTCCTTGGGCCAACATGTCAGCACTGGCAGAAACTGATAAGAGCACAATTTTAGGAATCCATTTAGCCAGGGTAACCTTGGAAGTGTAGTAGTGTCTCTGTAATCTCGATCCAAGTACCTCTCATCCCAGGGCCCTGGGTTCCCTCTCCCCATCGTGACAGCGCCCCAGAAAGTGCCCCGATCCAAGACCGTAGTGTCCAGTGCTGGAGGGCGAGGAGGCTTTATCTGGCGAAATGACAAGGGCCTTCACAGTGCCGCCACCTCTTCCCCAGGGGCTCCTCCCTAGAGTGCGTCAGAGGAGAGCTGAGAACAGGAGACGTGGCGTGTTGGTGACCTAGAGCAGGAAAATTCCAAATCCCTAATAATAGATCGCTGGTTTAAAAGGTGAGAAGAGACTGGTATCTTTGCTGGAGTTTTTAAAAATGGGACACTATTCGTGCAATTCAGGTCAAGAAAAATAGGGTGCAAACTCTGAGATGTTGTTTAGTCTCAGCTGTGCATGAGAAAGGATGAATGAAAATCCTTAAAAGGAAAAAAGTAACTCATTCAGTAAGGGATTATCACACCTACATAGTTTTGTGTCATTTTCTAGCAAACCATAACTGGTATCAATCAATTAAGGAAAATATTTAAGGGGAGAGAGAGAAAGGAAGAAAGAGTAGGAACATCTTAGTAGAAATAGTTTTCCAGCTTCTTCTTTATACTTTCCTGTATTTTCTAGATGTTTTACAACAAGCACGAGTTAGTTTTCTAGTTGAAGATATAGTAGTTGGGTTCCCCTTCTAGGACTCCAGCCTGATAAGGAACCAGAAATGAACACAAAGGTTTGTTCCAAAGGGTGTTCCCCGAAGCATTATTAATAATTGTGGAAAATGAGGCAACCTAAACAATGGAAGATTAACATATTTAATACAATGTAATGTACTCGGATTATTTCTCCCTGAAAAGTAATCATTTTATGCAAGTAGAAAATGAAAGTGAGCTTTAAAAGCATCAGACATACTTCCTTGGGCCAACATGTCAGCACTGGCAGAAACTGATAAGAGCACAATTTTAGGAATCCATTTAGCCAGGGTAACCTTGGAAGTGTAGTAGTGTCTCTGTAATCTCGATCCAAGTACCTCTCATCCCAGGGCCCTGGGTTCCCTCTCCCCATCGTGACAGCGCCCCAGAAAGTGCCCCGATCCAAGACCGTAGTGTCCAGTGCTGGAGGGCGAGGAGGCTTTATCTGGCGAAATGACAAGGGCCTTCACAGTGCCGCCACCTCTTCCCCAGGGGCTCCTCCCTAGAGTGCGTCAGAGGAGAGCTGAGAACAGGAGACGTGGCGTGTTGGTGACCTAGAGCAGGAAAATTCCAAATCCCTAATAATAGATCGCTGGTTTAAAAGGTGAGAAGAGACTGGTATCTTTGCTGGAGTTTTTAAAAATGGGACACTATTCGTGCAATTCAGGTCAAGAAAAATAGGGTGCAAACTCTGAGATGTTGTTTAGTCTCAGCTGTGCATGAGAAAGGATGAATGAAAATCCTTAAAAGGAAAAAAGTAACTCATTCAGTAAGGGATTATCACACCTACATAGTTTTGTGTCATTTTCTAGCAAACCATAACTGGTATCAATCAATTAAGGAAAATATTTAAGGGGAGAGAGAGAAAGGAAGAAAGAGTAGGAACATCTTAGTAGAAATAGTTTTCCAGCTTCTTCTTTATACTTTCCTGTATTTTCTAGATGTTTTACAACAAGCACGAGTTAGTTTTCTAGTTGAAGATATAGTAGCCGTGTGAGTAACCACACCAGAGACGCTTTCTGTCTGCTGTGGCGGCTGACTCTGCACGGCCATCTCGGATCCACGGTGCATCCGGGTCTGTAGGGGTCTGTAGTGTCTCCTGGCAGGGTGAGGGCTCTGGGGGCAGGCAGGGGACCAGGTCCCCACCACATAAGCCCTTCCCTCAGTAATGCAGTATTTTTATGGCATCATTCCCTCTACTCGGAAGACAGACGTGATTTCATAGAAACCTAGAACACAAGCAACCCAGAAGGCTGAAAAGCTCTGTGGGGAGTGAATGTCTAGCCGACATTGAACGTAACGGAATGTTTTCCGATGTTACTGCAGTGTTGCTAGAGAACGTCGGAGAGGAATTAGACCCAGTCTTGGAGCCTCTTCTTCTGAAGCAGACCTTCAAGCAGGGCGGGAGCCTGTGCATCCGGCTGGGGGATTCCGTCATCGAGTACACCCCCGACTTCCGCTTCTACATCACCACCAAGCTGAGGAACCCTCACTACCTCCCTGAAACGTCGGTGAAGGTCGGTGCCCGGAGCCAGTGTCTCTGACCGCATTTTACGACTACTGAGGATATGCAAAGAGGAACAGGTCTCCCTAGGAACGTTGGGTTTGGTCCCTCTTTGCACTTCCTGCCATCACTGTAATAAGCTCCAAAGGTTGCCTTTGTGTGTGCGTCTGAGTACGGGGCCTCCTGTATGCCGGGGAAAAGGCCATCAGAATCTAACTTCTGTGAGTGGTGTCATTCTGAGATTGTCATTGGGAGAAGGAGATGACGTATTCGCTTTCTTTGCACAAATGATAGTAAGCTCATTACTGGAATTCAGCCGTGGAACTGCATTATTCTTTCTCAGGCTCCTGTTGTGCTATCTGCTTTTACAGAATTACTCAAAAGAACCGTTTTCCATCACTGCTCTTCCGAAACGCTAAAACTTCCTTTGAAGAATAAAGTCAGCTTAGGGTTTTTGTCCGTGTCGTGGGTGACTTGAGACGCTGATCTGCAGCCGAGCTGCAGGTTTCAGGTGACGTCTTTTTTCTGGTTTTTATTTCTGATTCGTAGCCCTGGTCAGTAAGTGTGGGGTGCGCGAACCTGGTGAAGGGTGAGTAACGAGGACTGACTGGGACTCTGAAGGTTACTTACAGAGGAAAACTTTACCGACGAATTTTGTGAAATATTTAAATGAGCATAGGAATCTCTCCGCAGAGAGGCAGAGTACCAGGCTGGGTGACTCGCTCCTTCCAAGGTGAATACACCCTGTGAACACAGTGCCGAGTGTGCAGTGGGACTTTGTGTGAAGGCAACAAGCGAGGGGAGCTACAGGGAGCTGGAGCTCAAGCTGAGGACGCACTGGGACGTCCAGGGTGCTAGGAAGGCCCGAGAGAGACAGGGACCTCGTGCTGAATCTGAAAACAGAATGTTAAAATCCGAAAATGCTCCGCCGCTGTGTTTAACCCAGTGCAGGCTGCTGTGCGAACGCCCAAGAAAGTCTGCCATCTGCCCACGAGGAGAGGGGCTTGTGCTGTAGCTAAGGCCGTGGATCTGGACCGCGGTGGCTCACCAGGTGGAGGGTGGAGGACTTTACCCTCCTGGTGCCCTCACGGCCTCATCTGTAAAATGGGGATGTTGACGTCTGTCCTAAAGCAGCGAGAAGGCTGTGAAGTGCTAGGAGAGCTCCGTGTTGTGAGTGTTAGATAGTAGCACTGCTGTGGGACTTTTCAAGATAAATGAAAAAGAATGAAGCATTAAGAGGAAATGACAAAACCCCAAAGCTGTATTTGGGGAAAAAAATTAAAATAACAGAAAACCGCTTTTACTTTCTGGTAAAATATGTGAGGCCACCCACATGACAGGAACGGTCCTCTGTTCGCTAACACTGGTGACGGTAGAAGTCGTAAAGCACCGAGGCCGATCTGTGATTGGCATTGAAATCCGGAAGATCCCTGGAGTGCCGTATGGCTTCGTTATTTTAGTTGCTGGGATTGATTAAACAGGGATTAGGAAACAGAGCGAGGCAGGTGTTTGCTTTAATTTACAAATTAGAATACTTCCTCTTGATCCTACTTTTTTAGGGTCTTTTACTACCTTTTGCATTCAAAAACACCCAAGGGCTGGTATCATATGCTGCTCTACCCCCTTGGAGGCTGAATGGAAATAAACTTTTGACTCAATATTCCTATGATTTTAAGTGTTTATTTGTGAGCAAATGGCTACATTTGCAAAATCTTGAGTCCAAAAGATACGACATTCAGAGAACAGGAGCGGATACCTTCTCGGGGTGAATGCAGGGGAAAGTTACAACGCGCACCTCTTGCTAAGCTTTGGGATTGAAGCCCACGTCACCTGTGCATTCTGGGGGCACCGGGAGAGGTGCACATGGTAATTTCCCTCTGAATAAATGCCACAGCCGTAGAGAATTGTGTCTACATAATGAGTTTTCAAAACTGCTCGATTTAAAAAGCTGCTTATTATCTCATTTAAATTTTATGTCCACACAGTCTTTACTGAGGGGCATCTGAGGCCGGCCTGGAGAAAATAAAGGGAAAGTTCAATCCAGTCCACCCAGTGCCTGGGCCTGGGTGAGAGAGGGGAGTTGTCTCTCCAGGGCTACTGCAGGATGCTGGTCTACACTTACTGACCCCAGAAAGGAAATTTCCTTACCAAAAACCAAGATTACTCTGTTTTCTCAGAGGGAGGATTCTCTTACATGGCAAGAAAACACAGCATCTCCCGGCCAGGAGCCAGAACTGGGTCGCCACGTGTGAAAAGAGAGACCGGGAACACAGCCAGGATCCTGGGGCAGCAGTGCCCACTCTCAGTGTGCAGGGCAGGAAAACCTTTGTGGGCTATGCCAGCAGTTAACAAATTGGGCAAAAGTGCTGAAGAAATCACTGAGCTTTTCAAAAACATAGCGTCCGTACCTCTCCTGTGTTTTAAACGTCTCCGCGGTGTCCCTGGGTCCTGCCTGGTGTGGGGCTGTGGAGCGTTGGGAGGGATGGCACTTGTGCCAGGCACGGACCCTGTGGGTGAGGGCGCACGTCACCTGTGGTTGGTTATAACCTGCCACACGCGGGTGGTTTGCCCGCTGCGTTTCTGTTTTCTTTTCTATTGATTCTATTTAGAAGTTCCAATTTTTAAAAGGTCTAAGATTTCAGTGTGCCAAAATGGTAGTTTTTCAGTGGCTAAGTCCGGGTAAGGTGTGCTGCATGGTGTCTGGGAAGCTTTAGGACAAGGTGCTCACTGGTGCACCCTGGGGAACTGTTCTCTGGGCCGGGAAGGGACCTCGCAAGCAGAAAGCTCCTTCCGGCAGGGAAGCGGTGGGGCCTGCAGGAACAGTGAGTGGCCGCTGATGGTTTATGTTAATTGCTGGAATTGTTGTAGCATTTCCAAGGGTGATCAGCATTTCTGATGACTGTGGGTGTTGAATTCTCAGATACCTGTGACCCACAGATGCCGTCTCCTTCACTCCTCCGTGGTCTATGAAGGTGGCTTTGTGCGCTACCCCTGCGCCAGGGATGGGCTGCGAACCGCCGAGACTCAAGCTCCCTGTGCTGTTCCCTGGGGGTGCTCATGCCCCATGCAGCTGCACACTCAGGTCCCTAAAGGCCTTTCTGTCCTCACCTCCCTGCCCCATTCCAGACCGATGACATCGGACTCTGGACACCATGGTTTCGCAGCTCTCCAGGAGACTGTAAGGCAGCCAGCGCCGGAGCACCTAGGCCTCTGCTGCCCCCGCCTCCCTGTGGCTCCCTGCTGCCGTCCTATGAGCGTCGGCGCTGGGTCCTTTCTTTGAGAGACGCCCTCCTTGGCTTCCTGGCCTGGGCTGGACGCCCTTCTGCTGTAGACCTGGTTCCCAGTCAGTGTCCTGACCCCGTCGCCTGTGGTCTGCACCTCATTGCTTTGTGCCAGACAACAGAGCAGAGAGGACACATCGTTGTTTTCACTTTGGCCTGGAGAGCTGAGTAAACCAGGGCTGCCCCGGTGCGTGTGTGCGCTCCAGGGAGCGGGGACCCCATGAAGAAGCACAGGAACGGCCTGGCTAACAGACTGCACCTCGGCACCGGGCGGGAATGGGTCCGCTGAGGAAGCGGGGCAAACCTTTGGCAGAAGGAGGCGTTGCATAGTCGGTGTGAGTGGGCGTCCACGGTGGGCTCGCTGTAGCTTAGACAACAGGCACTGAAGAGCACAGTGTGGCAGGCTTAGGACGCAGCGCAGGCACAGACCTTATGTAAGACCCTGGCCAGGCGACAGCCAGGAAGAGGCGATCCGAATAGCGGGGCTTCCGGTGGGAGCCAAGCTCAGGAAGCTCAAGCTGTTGGGGCTCCGCAGTGCAGCAGCAAGGAGGCTGCTGTGGTTTATTGCTGAGGGGGCTGAGGGGTCCACAGAGGGAGGAAGGGGGCAGATTGGAGAGGGCTGGGCAACGAAATGAGGTGGAGGCAGAAAGCGTCGCTAAGTAGCGGTTTTGATCAGTGCAGCTGTGCACATAAAGACATTGCTCCTTGGCTGGGAAAGTTGTGGGAGCAGCACACGATTTGGCTGCGCTTTGTTTTTTAAAAATAGAGACCTGGAGCATGATTACCTGTCTGAGGGGATGAACAGGAGAGGGAGAATATTAAGCTGTGAGTGACCGAGAGATGCGGTGTAGAAGCCGTTAGGCCTCTGGGCGAAGCCATTGTCAACTGACAGCTGCCTGATGGACACTGAAAAGTGCCAGTTTCTCAGCTCCCAGTAGAGGCTGATCATCTATTGTAAAATACTCTCCGCGTGACAAGGACTCAGCGCTCTTTTCCTCATTGCTCACTTTAGAAGATGTCCTTTATTTGGACACTGCCAGGATTCTTAAAATGTAAACTAGCTGGTCCAGCCAATATGAAGGGTTGTTTTCAACCTGATTCTTACTGATTTCAGTGTTAGGGACTTTTCAGCACCTCATTCTGAAATGAGAATAGATGAACCCAGACAAATCCTCTGATATAGTACAAGTCCAACTATGACAAAGTTTTGTGGGTTTTTAATCCAACAACCATGCTTTTCTGTCTTTGATTATAACCTCCAGCCTCCCGGAGTTCCATTGTCATACATCCGACTGCCAGAGGTAGCCTTTGTTTTAGGGTTAGAGCTCGATGCATTTTACACATATATTCTTTTCTTCCAGGTAACGTTATTAAACTTCATGATCACCCCGGAAGGCATGCAAGACCAGCTACTGGGAATTGTGGTGGCGCGCGAGAGGCCAGACCTTGAAGAAGAAAAGCAAGCACTGATATTACAAGGAGCTGTAAACAAAAGGTTTTCAATGTCGTAAAAAACAGAATTATTTCTGTTTGTTTTGAGATCACTTGGAATGGATTAAAGTGCATTCTAAAGATCTATTTTATTAGATTTCATTGGTACATCAAGTGGGAAAATTTTAAACATAAAAAATTACAAAGCCGCTACATTAAATTTGGAGAATTGGATTGCTGAGTGTGGTTTTATGTGAAAGTTCTTAGACACTGGGAGAACCAGAAGACCTGACACAAGTCAGGGCAGTGCATTGTCAACTCTTTGACAAAGTTTTAGCGCACAGACTGGGGAGCTTTCCTGCTTCTGCTGAGCGTGGTGTGAATGACAGTGTTGCAGGCCACTGCTCATAACACCGACATCGTAGGTAGAAAGGACACAGCTCTGGAAGCCGTGTGAGATTTCAGAAAACGAATGGAGTGGCGGAGACCTCCTGTTCACTCTGAGCTGAGGTCCTGGAGGGCGATCAGCTGACCACCATATTCCCCTCTAGCGACCACATAAGTGGTCGTGAGAGTGGGGACCAGAGCAGAAGGCCCATCTGTATGACATTTGGTGCAATGAGACGTTAATTATACGACAGCACCACTGCAGCTGTGTGTCACAAAGTGATGCATTTCTGTAGGTTACAAGCTCTGTGTTCCCTCTAAAAGAATGTGTACGCGAAGTGATTTTAAACGATTTCCCTTTCTCCTGAGAAAAGTGTGTTTCATTTCAGGCAGTTAAAAGAAATAGAAGACAAGATTTTAGAAGTTCTTTCATCTTCAGAAGGCAATATATTAGAAGATGAAACTGCTATTAAGATACTATCTTCCTCCAAGGCCTTGGCTAATGAGATCTCGCAAAAGCAGGAAGTAGCGGAAGAGACGGAGAGGAAGATTGATACCACCCGCATGGGCTACCGGCCCATCGCCGTCCACTCCTCCGTCCTCTTCTTTTCTATCGCTGATTTAGCCAACATCGAGCCCATGTACCAGTATTCACTCACCTGGTTTATCAACCTTTTCATCCTGTCTATTGAAAATTCAGAGAAATCGGAACACTTACCAGTCAGGTAGGTAAAAGAAATGTTGATTAATACCAACTAGTTCTGGTCTGAAGCTTGGTCATTTCTGGCTTCCACTGTTGTTTCAGAATGGTGTGCGCACTACAGACACTTATCTAAAATGAACTTGATCAACTGTTGTACAGAAATAAACTTAGGTTACACATTTAACAGATGTGTCCAAATTTAGCCAGCCAAGAAACTGTTTACAGAGATAGACGATCATAAGTCTAGAAAGAGGAAACGTTTACCTCTATCAAAAAAATGCTATTGAGTGAAAGTGTGGAAAGCGTAGTCAATACCCCCAAAAAAGATGACTTCTACTCTTGAGTTTGCCTTCTCAAAACTGCACCCTTCACATTAAGATACGTACATAAAATGTGTCGGGTATGAGGGTGAAAAGCCCTAAACCTCATTGTTCTGGTAACTGAAGGCTCTTTTGTGTCATACTTACCTACATAAAATACCTCTTTCTACTGTTGGCTATTATAATAAAAGATGGAGTTAATATCTTGATAGTAAATCTATGAAGGGATAAAATTCATTCAATTTGATACCAGTGAGATAATTTTTATTTTTGTATTAAAACAAGTTTTCTGTAGGGTCCAACGTGAAATTACTTTCTCGAACAAAAAGAACAATTTCCACCTTTGCTCTTTAGGAATGTCTTCGTCTTTGCATTTCAGTTTCTTCACTCTCCTTACTCGGTCAAGGAAACTCAGCTGGCTAGTCATCACTCAGGGTGCAGAACTGACCATAGAAAATTCATGATGCCGATCTCACTGAAATCTGAATGGAATTCCTTTCATTGTGAAGGCGAAGAACTGACCTTTTTGAGCATTCTTAGGCTGAGCAGTGTTTTATTCATATCATTCATTACTTTGCAAGCTTGAGTGTTAGACTAATACAAGTGCACAGGTGGCATGTTGGGCTGGCAGAAGTGGTTTGAGGGACCTACCCGTGACAAAGGGGACAGAAAGCAAAGGGGTACATTGAGCTCCTAGCACTCACTCCAGTGCTGATTGCATTGTAGCAAACAGCGTTCTGCTTTTATCACTATTTTTAATTTCAACCTCGGTTAAAACAATCACCACCAGACTGTTATTCTTCAACTAATTTTAAATCCACACTATTTGCTGGAGCCTGGAGAAGAAAATTTCTTAAAGACATATTTTTGTGTGCGATTTAAAAAACGGAACAATTCCATTCTTTAAACATAACTCTTGATCATTCATTTTCTCTTGTTATAGCAAATTAGAACTCATCTAAGAGAGGGCATCGGTTTCTTTACAACTGTGGTGTAGAGCCTTGTATCAGTCATGTTCCTATTGCTAGGACAAAATACCCAACACCTGCAATTTAAGGGAGGAGATGTCTCTTTTGGGTCATGGTTTTGATGGGTTCAGTCCATGCTCAGGGCTCCAAGGCAGGAATGGCAGGGCAGAGGGCCTGGTGGAGGAAAGAGGCTCATGTCACAGCAGTCGGGAAGCAGTGAAGACAAAAACACACCCTTCTAGGCTGTGCCCCATTGACCCACTTGCCACCAGGCCCTGCCTTGTAATAAAAATCTTCCCTTTCATTTTTCCATCTACTAGAGTGAATTTGTCTTACAAAGCAGAAAATTTCATCTTATTTTATTTCATAGAGAGTAAGTCTGAGTATTAATTACACTGTGATAGGTGAGACGATTAAACACTACATGTGAACAGACCTGTTAGCATAAGAACAGGAGCAGGGGTAGTGTGATTATTTTAAATCTTCTAAGATTTTTTTTTGGTCCCGGGGATCGAACTTGGGTCCTTGTGCTTGCGAGGCAGGTGCCAGACCACTGAGCTAAATCCTCGGCCCCTCTTCTAGGAATTTAACTGTGTTTCAGCAACCATTTGCTAGGCCTTCTCCACCAAAGCCCTTCTCAGAGTTCTCAGTGGATTCCAGGTCCATCCGTGCACCCTGTTCTCTCTCTGGGAATATGGGCAGGGGTAACATAGTTCCAGAAACAGGCAGGTAAAGGAAAAGCGGGGGTGGCGGGGAGACAGCTGGGAACAGCAACAGTCTGGAAACAGCTCCCATCTGGCTGTCGCAGTATGTGTTTTTCTAACCACGTTAAGAAACACCAGCATAATTGTGCTTAATTATAATCAACTATGTTGAGTTTTCCTTAAGATAAATTGAACTGCTTTGTAAGTCTGGGCCATTAATCTATGTCAGTTATTAGCTCTCTGCAAGTGTTTTCAGTCGGCTGTTCTTTTCTATTATAATTTTTCTAATCTACATAATGAAAGTACTTCTAAATTTTGGATTCATTAATTTTCCCTGTGATAATTAAATTAAAATGCATAAAGCATTATATTGATGTTAGGAGTGGTTGTGAATACAGACTCCACCTGTGAGTACCTGCTAGAAAGTTGCTAGTTGGAAATACTGTGTTATATACACTTCCACGGTTGGTTTCTGCAACTAATAAAAACGTAATATAACCACATTGCGGTGTCTCCAGCTTTTATGGATTTATAAGTGGAGTGGCACAGGATGAAATTTGCTGTTAATAAAGGAGTTATTAATTTTAGTGCCATTTACTATATCATATAAAATATTTGGAAGTATTTCTGTAATAAACCAGTCAAATTTTACCACTGGAAATGCTTTGTAGTTAAAAACAGCCCACAGATCATTCTGTGTAACAGGTTAATACTCCATACAGTGACTTTTTTCCAAAAGAAAGATACATTTTTTAATTTAGACAAATAGCCAACAGAAAAATGTCGTTCTAATGAAATGTTTCTAAGGTGGGTAGCTCTCGGACTGGCCCGTCAGTTTATGAAGATCCTTGATGGTTTGGTGAGTCATTGACCAGGAAGCTTATTAGAAAAATACAGATCTGAGTGATTTAGAACGGATCTTCTCAAGGACGTGGTCCTTTTGACGAAATGCATTCCTGTTACTCACTTTGCTTTCTGTTCGGCCAGGCTCCAGATCCTCCGGGATCACTTTACTTACTCCTTGTACGTCAACGTCTGCCGGTCCCTCTTCGAGAAGGACAAGCTGCTCTTCTCCTTCTGCCTGACCGTGAACCTTCTCATCCACGACCGTGTGGTCAGTATTGTCTGCGTTTGGAAGGCCAAGAGCACCAGAATGTTCACGTTGCTTTATTAACTTGCTCACTTGCTTGGGGATGTATATGAAAAGGTTGCAAACAGCCAAACAGTGATACTAATGATTAGCTAAGGCAAGGCATGACCGCAAGACTGAGTTTCACAGAAGTGAAATCTAAATTAGGCGCTGTTCATTACATTAGTAGCCCTCAAATTTAATATGTTTTAGTTGAAACGAAACCTGTTGTTTTAGAATCTCATACAGCAGGGCATATAAATTTACTAAATGCACATTTTCACCAAGTAATAGCTTGAAGAACTATTTTTGTTTTGAAGAACTTGTTCCAGTTCATCAGACCTAACAATGTGGGCTTGACAATATCTTGTGTAAATTTTTTTTGTATTTTAAATCTATTTCATTTCAATCTATTCATTTAAAATATAGGAAGCACTTTAAGAATTGAGGAGAAGTATTGTGTAGGGTCACTATTTTATAGGCACTTTTGTGTTTAAGATTCATTGATTTCATATGGTAATGTATTAGTTGAATTCTGAGAGAATGAAGGATTTATTTTTTGCATTTTTTGCAAACATTTCATAGAATCATTTTATTTTATGGAAAATGACTGAAAAACATGGTGGAATAATGGTTGTCTGTCCCTCTGCAATTTCTCAAGTCAACAGAACTCTAAAGGATTAATCTGTAGAGCAGGTATTCTGATAGGATATATCCAGATTTTTGTGTTTAACCTAGTAATTCTGGAGTAAAATGATGAAAAGGCCATTTTTTAAAATGTACCTCCAGCCAGGGATTTAGTTCAGTGGTTCTGGTGCCTGCTTTGCAAGCACAGGGACCCAAGTTCAATCCCTGGAACAACAACAACAACAAACAAAGCAAATAAACAAAAAATGTAACTCTTAAAGAAAGAAATTAACTTTTTTGTGGGGCTGGAGATTTAGCTTAGTGGTTCTGCTGACTGCTTCACAAGTACAAGGTCCCAAGTTGGATCTCCAGTACCAAAAACAAGAATGTAACTCTTTTGAAAACTGGTTATAGCGGACACTGTAGTTTCTTATAGCTACATACTGAACCGTATCAGCGACAGAGTTTCAGAGACTGTATCTGACACTTGCAAATCAACACACAGCTGACTCTTCTAAGGTGCTGTAAACCTGCTCATTTCCGATTCCTTGTGCCATCTTGTTTTCCCAAGGTCAATAAAGCTGAGTGGAGATTTCTGCTGACTGGTGGCATTGGGCTGGATAATCCTTATGCCAATCCCTGTACGTGGCTTCCTCAAAAATCCTGGGACGAGATCTGTCGATTAGATGACTTGCCTGCCTTCAGAAGCATTCGTAAGGAATTTATGCACTTGAAGGATGGGTGGAAGAAAGTGTATGATAGTTTGGTACGTTTTAACCTCTTGCTTATTCCAAAGTTTTTGAATACATAAAAAAATGTTATACATTGATATTTGCATAAAAGCAAGATTTAAATAAGTTTTAAGCACCCAGCCAGATATTAAAATGCATGTTTTGGTTTCTGATATTCGCTCTAAGTCTGTGGCTCTATTTCCACTCAGCTGGGAGTGGTTGCACACACCTGTAATCCCAGCACTTGGGAGGCTGAGGCAGGAGGATTGCTGTGAATTTGAGACCAGCCTGGACTACAGAGTGAGTTCAAGGCACAAAACATACCCAACAAAACCAAAAAAATTAAACAAAAGTAACTTTCACTCAAACTCCTTGGAAGCTATAGAGATGCACAGGACCTTGTTGAATTTCTCTGCCAGGGTTTATTCATTACCGGTTTAGATTTTGACAGTCTTGCTATCAGATGAGTTAAAATTTTATCAAAGGGCTGTTTAGATTTTCTGAATGTAGGATAAAAGCTAATATATATTTTGAGGTTTTGAGGAGAATAAAAAGCTAGTAGTTCAGAGCACCTTTCACATGCCCTGGTCTCGTTCACTGGGGGAAATTCCAGTTGACAAATGCGGTGACCCTCACCAGTTCTCCCCGGGACCTGTGTGCAGCAAACGCTGCCTTCTTTCAGATTTTCTTTAGCTCAGGATAAATAATCTTTTCCACTCCTCACTTAGTTATTTTTCTGCTCCTGTTTTTCTTTTCTTGCTGTTTTGAACTTTTACTGTCCTTGGGTATAATCTGCAAGGGCTCTATGGAAACTTGGAGAGGAGAAAGACCCAGAGAGATTAAAGCATTTGCTACTGGGTTCCCCTGTGTTTTAGTTGGTTGCCCGTTGTACTTGATAGTGACGTTGTGTCTGTACAGGAATTTACATATTTGGTGGATTGCTGCTGCTTTTTTTTTGTATAGGGGATTGAACTCAGGACCTTACACCTGTGTGACAGGTGGCAAACAGAACTGGCTCGCTCTTTCTTTTTTTCTTTCTTTCTTTTTTTTTTGTACCAATGATCAAACTCAGGACCTTGTGCTTTGGAGGCAGGCGGGAGCACCACTGAGCTAAATCCCTGGCCTTGGATAGCTTTTGATGGCTCCTTATTAGTCATGAAAATAGGTTTCCTAGACTTCCGAGTGCTTCTTTCTGGTGAAAGTAGTCATTTTACCCACTGTGCTGACACGTGGAGTTTCTGACCACACAGCTTTCCCTGGAGCTTCAGATGTGCACATGTTGACATCAACATGCTGGATTTTGATTTCTTCAGAATGTTTTGAATTTTCCTACCATTATTTATTTTTTATTATTTTTATCAGCTTTTACAATAAAATTTATACAAACATACTTGATTTCAGTTACTTAATATATGTTCTCTCTGAAAATTGTTTTATATGTCAAAATGTACTGTTCTTTTCAGACATGATCTCTAATAGTAAATTATACACACTATAATCTTAGGAACCACACCATGAGGTTTTCCCGGAAGATTGGGAAAATAAAGCAAATGAATTTCAAAGAATGCTTATCATCCGGTGCTTGCGGCCAGACAAGGTAAGCATGGGCCTGGGAAGCAGCCCTCACCTCCTTCCCTCCTCTCTGCCTGGTCTGGTCCTGTGTGGATTCCTCAGTAGTCACGGGGTGGGCAGTCTGCAGGACTGACCCCGCCCAGGCTGAATTAGTAACCAACCAGGTACACTGTTTTAGTTCATTTTATGACTCTTCTTTATTATCCACCTGTCCATGTATCCATGTAACCTTGTGTCCACTTACTTACTTGTCTACTTACCTACCTAGCTACCTATCTACCTCCCTACCTACCACTTACCTATCACCTACTTACTTACCTACCTACCTATCATCTACCTACTCACCTACCCACCTGGATATCCTTTCATGCTTTAGAAAGCAAGTAGAACTTGTTTTGTTGAGTCATTCAGCAAATTGTTGAGTCGTTGTTGACAACAAAGGGATATCAATATCAGTATCAATAATGTAAATATATATATAAATATATATAAATATCAATAATGTTACTTTTAACTTCTGTAAATAATATATTACCCAACAAGCCAGTGGACCTGTCCTATCAGCAAATCTCAGTACTTGTGGACATCTTCATTTGTATAATAGCCTGTACCAAATAAATTCACCTGACTATATCAGCCCGTATCCACAGAAATAGCAGTCGACTCTGAATAATATAAATAGTGCATGTCTTGAGAAAATGTCCTAACTGTCCATTGTTACTATTCAAAGAAAAGTTTGACATAATTATTTAAAATGTACTATATTAACAATTAATTTAATGAATACAAAATCCTCCAGCCTAAGGAAAAAGAAAAGCCGAAATTAAATAGTAAAAACAATATATTTTAAAATTTTTGCAGGCGTGGTGGCGCACAGCTGAATCCCAGGACTTAGGTGGCTGAGGCATAGGTATTACCATGAGTTCGAGGCCACCCTGGGCTACATAGCGAGACCTTGTCTCAAAAAAACAAAACAAGAAAACAAAGCCTCACATTTCTGGCCCCCTTCTGTGGTCGCTGGGAGAGGAGGATTTGCAGCCACAGACCTTGCTTTGACCAATCAGATGGGAACAACACCAGGATGAGACATTTGTTCCCTTCTGTTAATCTCATGATGTCGCCATAAATTTGGTATGAAAACACTGCGTGAGAATCGCATGAGAATTGCAGCTGGCAGTTGGATGTCTCATTTATATAGGTATATATAAATATCAATAATGTTACTTTTAACTTCTGTAAATAATATATTACCCAACAAGCCAGTGGACCTGTCCTATCAGCAAATCTCAGTACTTGTGGACATCTTCATTTGTATAATAGCCTGTACCAAATAAATTCACCTGACTATATCAGCCCGTATCCACAGAAATAGCAGTCGACTCTGAATAATATAAATAGTGCATGTCTTGAGAAAATGTCCTAACTGTCCATTGTTACTATTCAAAGAAAAGTTTGACATAATTATTTAAAATGTACTATATTAACAATTAATTTAATGAATACAAAATCCTCCAGCCTAAGGAAAAAGAAAAGCCGAAATTAAATAGTAAAAACAATATATTTTAAAATTTTTGCAGGCGTGGTGGCGCACAGCTGAATCCCAGGACTTAGGTGGCTGAGGCATAGGTATTACCATGAGTTCGAGGCCACCCTGGGCTACATAGCGAGACCTTGTCTCAAAAAAACAAAACAAGAAAACAAAGCCTCACATTTCTGGCCCCCTTCTGTGGTCGCTGGGAGAGGAGGATTTGCAGCCACAGACCTTGCTTTGACCAATCAGATGGGAACAACACCAGGATGAGACATTTGTTCCCTTCTGTTAATCTCATGATGTCGCCATAAATTTGGTATGAAAACACTGCGTGAGAATCGCATGAGAATTGCAGCTGGCAGTTGGATGTCTCATTCCCTCTACAATGACCAGAGGTGCTCAGGGTGGTGGCCGTGAGCGTCCAGACATTCCTTAGTGCTGCGAGCTGCTGGCCTTCATCATGACGATCATGCGCGTACGTTGTCAATTTCTCCAGCAGAGTAGTGGCTGTTCTGTCATGCACGACAACCTCTAGCGTCCCGCATACCAGGGTGATGCCATCTTTTGAAACAAAATCACGCTATTTTTCTTCTCATGAAGTATGTATACATTTTTGTTGGCTTCTGTGTATCGCTCTATAACAGGGGTTGTAAGGAAGTAAAGTTAATACTGTATTTCAAGACTGCAGGATGATATTGTGAATTCAGATCAGTTGTGTTGTATTCAGAGGGGGCAGTGGAGCACTTGGCAGAGGAACGAAGGTCTTGCACGTGCTTTCCTGGGGCCAGCGCTGTGTTGGCCCAGGGCAGGCGCTCCTTGGCTTCCGTTTTCAAGGTTGCCTGCAGCCCTCGTAAAGCCGGACAAGGGCCGTTGGCTTTGGCTCCTGTGTGCACACCTGGATGACATTAAACAAATCTTTCGACTTCATTAGGTGACAGCAATCTATAAAGAAGGTGGTTAATTAATTTACTCAGCATAAAGCTTAAATATCTAATTTTCCTGGAGGAAGATCCATTGATACCTCTGTTTCACCTATTTTAAGTCTCCAAGTGAACCTCACATGTAAAACTAGGATCAAGACAGGAGACAGTTGTGCAAGGGAGGGAATGCTTCAGTGCCGCTCTGGATTTGCCCTCCCGTCAGACCTGTGCTCCTGTAATGATGCTTTCTTTTCCACACTCAACCACTTTCATGCAAACAAAGCAAATTGGCAAGGAGCGCATTTCCGGGTTTTACTGACCTCCGTGCTGAGAATCGGCAGAGTGATGAAGGAACAAGTAGGAAAGGACAGTGTCTGAGGAAAGGGTTTGCACGGTTCGGTCTGTGTGGTTCCACCGTCCGTTGAAGGGACCCTGGGATGCCGCTGGGATGCCCTTCACCAGCTCTGCCACTTGCTTGGGTCGCACCCGGGTCCTGATTAGCTGGCACCGTCACCCAGAAAGCCAGGCTCGCCCTCAGAATCCACACAGCACATGTGGCTGCCTCCTGGGCGTGTGACTCGTCCCCTCCGATCTCTCCACCTTCTCTCTCTCCCCATAGTGTGAGAAGCCCTTTACACCAGACTGTCCGTCTTTGAGTTGTGAGCTTTTGAAACACAGTCGGTGTTTTAAAACTTCGGAGTTACAGTTTCTTCGTCTATCTTGCCCAGAATTATTCACTTAAAAAAGAACAAAATGCCTTGGAATCTGGTGTCAGCCCCCTCCTGGCTTATTCTTTTGGTCATCTGGAATTTTTAGGGGCACAGGGACCCTCTGACTCCTTCCCAGCTGCACCTTTTGAGGTCTGAGAGAAATTTTTGAGTCTTCTTTCACATGCGGTCTTGTCCCTTCACAGATCATTCCGATGTTGCAAGAATATATAACCAACAAGCTGGGGCGCGCGTTCATTGAGCCTCCCCCCTTCGACCTGTCCAAGGCTTTTGGAGACAGCCACTGCTGCGCTCCGCTGATCTTCGTGCTGTCCCCCGGTGCTGACCCCATGGCTGCCCTTCTGAAGTTTGCGGATGACCAGGTACCGCATAGCACATCAGGTCACTGGATGGTGTTATTTTTTCAAAAAGCAGTGTTCATTTATGATTGAAATCTTCAGGGGCAAGAGAAAGGCAAAAATCGTCCCTCAGCCTCTGAATGGCATGGCATCTGGAGGTTGGTAGGGTCCCCAGAAAACAGTGCTTTAATGCCAAGGTTAACAGTGAAATTAGCTCCTCGTCCGAACTGTGAAACAAGACTTTGGATTTTCAGGGCATTTGCTTCTCTTTCATTTTGGGACAGGGAACTCTGTCAGCTCTCAGGGACTTGGGGGGACCCAGCGAACCTGGGGTGATCCTCTGTGCTCCTGAACCCCTCCTGTCTGACTTCCCAAAGTCCAGGGGCGGTGACCCCACAGCACAGTGCTGCAGCAGGCTATTTGTTAGCATTGAAAACCCTGAAGGGCTGTCAGAGGGGAACACAGACATTGCTTGCATTTGCAGTAAATGCTTTTATATCGTAAAAGAAAACAATAATGAGCAAGGGTTGGGTGTGTCTGAGTTGATTTTTTTTCTCCTTTTGGTATAACCAGAATAACGTTTGGGGTGCTACCACTGACATTTCTAAAATCAATGCCATCACTTTTATTAAGTGCATAGTGTATTCTGTTAACTTTGCCAGAATTTCTTATGCAAGTTTTCCCTTAATTTTATAGAGTCCTACGTGGTAAATGGTGATGTCTGCATTGTACAGAAAGTGGTCTTGAAATAGGGAGATGTTAAGCAGCTTTTCTAGGTCACACAGTTTACAGATTAAAATACTCTTCTCTGGCCCATTTCTGCCTTCATAACCCCGCTTCTTTCACATGAATGTAACTCTCTTGTCTTACAAGACTGACTCTAGCGTGGCGCTATGTTTTTAAGTACTGTCACATAGCTGTTATGATTGGGGGAGTGTGAGGTGTGTGAGGCATCGGAAAAGATAGGGTTGTATGTGGCGTTACTGCGTTCCCATTGCGGTGACACGGAACCCAACAGCCACAGTTTAAAGGAGAGAGATTTAGTGTCTCTCAGGGTCCGTGTACCTCAAGGATTCAGGCTATGGTCACCCGGTTTCATGCAAGAGGCATCACGGAGGCAGGGCCTGGCAGGGGAGCGGAGCACCCGGGACCGCACCTCCCTGGCCCACCCAATCAGAGCCAGGGGCCTGCTCTGCTGATCCGGTAGCTGCTTCCCAACCCAGTGAAGCTGACAGACCATGATCAGCGGATCAGAGGTCACAGGGGTCTTTGTGGGCTACAGTAAGGACTGTGAGGGTGTGGAGAGGTTTTAAATAACAAAGTGACAGGAGCTGATGTGAAATGTATGAAGCTGTCCTACACAGAGCGTAAAGAATTGAGTGGTGCAGAATGGAAACAGGCTGCTCGTTAGGGGGATCCTCGAGAGCTCAGGAAGAGCATGGTAGCTGGGACTTGAGCGGCCCAGGAGGACAGGAGGCAGCTTAGAGGATCAGTCTTACCTGGGACCGACTTCTGCAAATCGATGTGGCCGTGGTGACCCCGAGTGCTCTTCTGGCTCCACACCAGCGGGCCCCTGTGTGGTCCTGCTCCATGAAACAGCACCGTGTAGGGACAGAGTCACAGGCATTCAGAGAGGACAGAGGGCCCTCCTCCTCCTCCTCCTCCTCCTCCTCCTCCTCCTCCTCCTCCTCCTCCTCCTCCTCCTCCTCCTCCTCCTCCTCCTCCTCCTCCTCCTCCTCCTCCTCCTCCTCCTCCTCCTCCTCCTCCTCTTCCTCCTCCTCCTCCACTGCGAATGTCCCCTGAGGCCTCTCCCAAAGAGGCAGCCAGGCGATGACTACCCTGGGAACGGGGACCCTGAGGCCCAGACAGTCAGGATGGAACTCAGCTACCTTCCAGGAAAACATTCCCACAGAACCCTTCACAGAAACCTTTCCGTTGCAATTCGCAGTTGAGTGTTTAATCTCTTAATTTTATGCAGAAGCCACATTAGTTAAAATGTTTATTCAAAGAGCTTAAAGAAACAGGCCAAGTTCGTCTGTCTATTCATAGTTTTCTTTGCAGCTTTTGCAGGGTTGCTACAAGTCGGCTGATCCCTTTCCTCTCCTCCTTACTTTGAAAATTTTCTTAATGTGTTTTGTATCTCTTATTTCAACAACCAAAAACCCTGCTGTGTTTGCAGCTATTACCGTGGCTGACTCCTGCGTGACTTGGCTCGTTTCGTATGTAAGTGCTCATTAGTTCAGAGCGCTTTAGGGCTATGTGGGTTTGAACCTGTGCAGGACGCTACATAATTAAATTTCATCATTAATGTGAACATTTCTCGTATGACATCGACCCTTCCCAGATGCAGTGTAAGATGATGTCTCTATTCTTTTCGTACCCCAGGGGTATGGGGGAGCAAAACTTAGCTCTTTATCTCTGGGTCAAGGCCAAGGGCCCATCGCTATGAAGATGCTGGAAAGAGCCATCAAAGAGGGGACGTGGGTGGTCCTTCAGAACTGTCACCTGGCCATCTCTTGGATGCCGACGCTTGAGAAGATCTGCGAGGTGAGGAGGCAGCTTTATTCCCTCAGGAGCATCTGTGGCTCTCACTGACCTTGGGAGCTTTGGGGTGGTGGTGGGGGAGCACAGTCAGGTCCCCCTCAGGCAGGTGACGTCTTCCAGAGGGGTGGGCTAGGCTTGGAGTGATAACAAGCCACAGGGGAGACGTAGGCCAACATAGTCTTCACAGCAGGAAACCGGGAGCGACGCCGGAAGTCACGGGGCCAAGGTACAGGGAAAGGCCATGGAAGGTCGGTGTGACCCGGTCCTCCCACCTTCTTCTTGAGGTTCCTGCAACTTCCGCTCTTTGGTGGGCAGAAATTTCTGGAAGGAAACCTGACATGGCTCAGCGGAGTGAACAGATGTCCTGGCCCTCAGTTTCAACAGACACAGAGAGCATGAGTCGGCAGGAAAGAGCCACGGCTCTGGCCCCTTCTCTCTCCCTTCTTAAACAGCCAGCAGATGTCCCCTCAAGAACCAAAGCAATGACACAACTCACTGGCCAGCCAACCATGGAGACGTCAGGTGACAGGCCAGCTTTCCCTGGGTGCCGCTGCTCCCTTTAGCTTGTTTCTCCACCGGGAGACTGACTTGGTCTCCACTGCTTCCTTCTCTCCTTTATCCTAGCACCCCGAGTGGTGCCCAGCCCATAACATTTATTGAATTATGATGAGTATCGCTTCCCTGCTTGAAACCTTGAAACCTCATTGCATGCAAGACCAAGCTCAAAGTCCAGCCAGGCTTAGATCATCCTGCGCACCCCAGCCTCGGCAGAGCGCTGATTACTCCTGGGCCCTGGGGGATGGTGCCAAGGGATCCCCTTCCTCTCTGTGGCTCCAGCTTAGCCCATGAGCAAATCAAGGCAGCAGTGATGTTGAGGTTTAGCGCTGCCCAATAGACCTGGTCTTCTGAGCCTGAAAAGCAGCCTTTAGAAACAAAATTCTGCTTGATTTAGTATTGGCTTATCTAAGTGCATTGCTTATTCTCACAATTGGCTGTAGCAGAAGGGATGAATCTTAACCTAGCTCTGGACAGAGAATGATTTCTAGAAGTAGTTTAGCGATGTGCACACAGCTACAAGAGCTTGAGAGATGCCTTAGTCTTTACTTGGCCAGCTATGAACTGCCTAGTACCTGTCTAAGCTTTGCAGTCACAGGAAGTAACTTCGTCCAGAAGAAAGACAGCACTCAGGCCTTCTCAGTGAAGAGCAGGAGGGACAGATTTTAAGGGTTTTTCCTGAAAATTTCACCAGTGACACCTGCATCTTGTAGAAATGCTTCCTCCACCTTCTAGCCCATCCCTTGCACATGTGATCTTGAAATTTCTCTGGGGGTCATATTTAGCCTTCTGTGTCCGATTTATTCTCTTCCAGGAATTGAGCCCAGAATCAACGCACCCTGATTTCCGAATGTGGCTGACAAGTTACCCATCTCCGAATTTCCCTGTGTCGGTGCTGCAGAATGGAGTCAAGATGACCAACGAAGCCCCGAAAGGGTTACGAGCTAATATCATCCGATCGTACCTCATGGACCCCATCTCTGACCCCGAGTTCTTTGGCAGCTGCAAAAAGCCGGTTAGTGGTGGCGAAGACTGTTACCTCAGCCCTGGAATGGGCTCACGTGGCCCCGGATGATCGGACACTTACACCGAGGAAAACTACAAATCAAATAGGCCTCCCACGCTGCAGTGCAGTTGATTTTGATTACTGATTATTGACTTACTGCAGTCGATTTTATTAATATTTTATTTTAATTTTACCACCAGCCTCATTTCTGCTCAGCTGAGATTTTATGGGGCATCATTAATAATGTAGCCCTCTATTTAGAAAGTCAGCTGTCAGCCATTCCTGGTCCAAATCTGCAAGGCTGGAGAATCTTGTTTCAGGGTATTAACTGAGCCCTTTGCTATTGGAGCCATATCTCTACATTAAGACATAAGAATATTTCCTCCATATAACCATAATGAGGACCAAAATGATCTCCCTCCGTGATTGATGGAACTCATAAGGGTCTTTCTCAGCATCACCAGGCAAGCAGGGAGAACACCCACTGCTTTCGTGATTAGAATTCTGCATGAATGTCTGTGAACTAAAATTGTCTCACAGTGTTTTACAATAATTAAAAATGGAAGAATTTCTTTTAAAGAGGGGTTCTAAGGCAGACGGTGATTTTCTATTTTGTTTTGTTTGGTTTGGTACCGGGGATCAAACTCTAGACCTCGCTCTTGTGAGACAGGCGGTGGGACCACTGAGCCAAATCCCCAGCCCTTAAGAGGGGTTGTGAACGTTTAGGAAGTTTCACCATTAAAAAGCTCACACACTCTTGATGTCTGAATGTTGTCTAAGTTCCTGTCCCAAAAAAGCACTAAACATAAAGAAGTGCTTTCATTAAACAAAAGCTGGGGCACTTTTTAAAAAATACCTATGCTTAAAAAGCTTGTTCAGCCCTACGCTGAGATCCTGAGACCTGCTGTGCTCCTGCTCTTTGCAGTCACGTGCTCCTCTCACGTAGGTGCGAGGGCATTTCCACCACGACAGAGCCCTTGGCAAGATGTAACTCAGCCCCCACCCCGGTCTCCTACATCCACAGGTCTCTTCAGTAGTAGTGTGGGGTTGAGAGGCGCGGGCATTTATGACACACAGTCCCAGTTCAGACCAAAATCTCCAATGCCGCAGCAGCAGTTCAGATTTTCTGTTTTGATATTTTATTGGGTAAGAATTTTAAACTTACAGACACATTTGTATCCTTTCATCATCTCTTTGCTTTATCATTTGTGTCTCCTTTCTCAATACAGATATAGACAGGGGTATAGATATGGACATGGAGATAGATATATGTACATGAGCTGTCCCTCAACATCCAGGGAGGCCTATTTATTGATCTGTTATTGGTCTGAAATTTCTAAGGATTTCCTCCAATGATTTATAATTCATTACATAAGTCTTTTGATGCTACAGTTGTTCCAGATTTGGTCAGTGGAATGTTTTTAAACTGGTTTCTCCATACTTACTATGGGTTCTATCTTTAAAAAGAAAAGTTGATCGTCTTTATTATTAGCATTGTTATTATTAAGCAGAGCCTCTTACGCTCTGGTGTAAGATGTTCCTGGCTTATCTTGTACCTGTCCTGGCGCAGTCATGGGAGACCCACTTTTGTGAAGAGCCTGGGAGGTGAACTTCCGGGCCACGTCCTTGGAGAGGACTGCAAAGCACATGTGCGTGTACAGTGCTCACACGCAGGCTTTGGAAGTGATAATTCGTTCCAGCACCTCCAATTTTAGTGCATCTGCCAGGGGTTCATCCCTCCTTTTCTTAATTCCATTCTTGTGCATCCTTTCTTCTAAAGAGAGATCCGGATTCTGACAACATCGCTATGTCTCTTGGGTTGCCCAGTTCTCTAACATACCTTAAATAGTTCCGGAATTAGCACATCCCATTTAACTTCAATTTCTCTGGCTAAATGTACGCTATATTCCTGTTGTCGAATTTATGCTGCCTTCACTTTTATTCCCTGAAGGAAAAGCTCCCGGCCTCTCTGACTGGGTCGTGGCCCCCTGGGCAGTGCGCTCAGCCCTCTCCAAGGTCGTCGCCCATGGTGGCGCCCTCCTGAGCGGAGCGCACGTGCAGTGTCTGGCCTACCACACCTGTCCCTCCCCGTACTCCTCCAACAGTGCGGGGTTTGTTCTTTCCCAGCTGCCCAGGCTGTCGCCTTTCTCCTCGCTGGCTGGGGCTTATTAGGTGGGCTCCACACCCACCCAATGGTAGGAGAGGTGGGTTCGGCATGGCAGGTGCTGCATCCACGAAATAAGGCTCAGACCCTCTTTCCAGCTCTGCTCTGACCCCGTATGTTCTCCTCATCCGAGGACTGCCTAACCAGTGGGATCACCTCCTTTTCATTTTCTCCGTGGTCATCCAGCACTATACATTAGAATTTGTAATTCTTTTTTAAAATTTTTATATTGTATTAGTCCATGTTTTACTACATAATGATTACTGTCATCGTAGGGACTTGGTGCGTGTATATAACACATCTTAATTGTTTTTGTGTCCCCCTCCAACTCCCTCCCTTGCCCTCTCCCTCCATCTCTTGGTCTACCTCCCATTGCAAAAGATCTATTGCCCTGTTTCCTATTACCTGTCATTTATGTTGCTCCTTATTCATAATTTGAGTTTCTCATACAAGAGAAAACAAGCAGTATTTTAGCTTGTGTGTATGATTTATGTCACTTAACATCATGGTCCATTTTCCTACACGTGGCTCCAGTTTATCCTTTTTCATGGCAGAGTAGTACTCCGTTGTACAGGAATGCTGCAATTGCTTTTTCCACTCATCTGCTGATGGACGTGGGCCGCTTCCAAGACTTAGCTCTTATGAGTTGTGCTGCTATACACATGGGTGTGCGTGGTTCTCTGTAATATTCTTGCCTTTCGATGCTTTGGTTGGAACCCCCAAAACCCTGCAAGGTAACATTAAGTCAGGTGAGCCTGTCATGCTTGCTGAAGCCCGGGGTATACACAGCAGTATGCTAACTGAACATGTGTTCAAATGGTGAATTTTTGCCTGAAGAGCTGATAAAAAAAATTAATTCTGTTTCAGTTATGCTTGGGAGTGAATACATTTCTGTGGTATTTACCAGCTAAGGCATTTCATTATTTTGATTTTTACACATGGCAAATACAATGTCATGTTGAGGAAATAATGTAGACCAATTCCTTCTCACTGCAGGAGGAATTCAAGAAATTGCTCTACGGCCTCTGCTTCTTTCATGCTTTGGTCCAAGAGAGGCGGAAGTTCGGCCCCCTGGGCTGGAACATTCCTTACGAGTTCAATGAGACTGACCTGCGGATCAGCGTCCAGCAGCTGCACATGTTCCTGAACCAGTACGAGGTGGGTGAGCCCCGCGGGGAGTGCGGCTTCCGGCTGAGGGGGTCAGCATGCACGGGCGCAGCGCCTTCTCCTGACCTCTGCCGTGACTCAAACAGCGGGGCAGCCGCAGCAGCTATTCATTATACTCGGGTATTCCTACTGTCTTAGATGTAGTTAGGGTGCCCTTTTGCCTCGCAGGGGCCTATATTTTATCATTTATTCTGACACATAGACATCTATGGAAATCTGAAAAGGAGTTGGATTATATTCATTTTGCAAAGGACTTAAGAACATGAATCAGCCAGGCTCCGAAGTGGAAAAAAAAAGCAGACCAATTCTGTCTTTTTTGGAGCATGACCTTATCTTTATAGGAATGTCACTACACTTTCATTCCAGCATTTGGATCATTTGTCAGGAAAACAAGTTATTTAAGCCATTGGTGTTAACCAGATGTATAGACTCCAGAAAAGGCCAAGCAGGCTAGTGTCACACTGGTCTCCTCCCTCTCTCTCTCTCTCTCTCTCTCTCTCTCTCTCTCTCTCTCTCGCTCTCTGCCTCTTGCCTGTCTCTCTCTCTCTCTCTCTCTCTCTCTCTCTCTCTCTCTCTCTCTCTCTCTCTCTCTCTCTCTCTCTCGTAGCCTGTGGTATGCTTTACTAACACTGGTTCATCGACTGAATTTTTGGTGAGCCAACTCAAGTGCCTATAAATACAAAGGGCTTTTATAAAGAATGAGCTTTGTGAGTTTTGGTATGATTTTGTTGAAATGTAGTTGGAAATATTTAACTCATTAAATAGGGTATGAACAACTTAAGTTTTTTAAACCGTTAGTGAATTGTGACTTTAAAAAGATGTGTAGACAGGAAGGCATCAAATTCTATATAAAAAAGGGACTCAGAAAATAAATACTGAGAGCTCAGTGGCGTATGTGAGCTTGTGAAAAACCTTTTACCTGAGCTGTGTGTCACTGGACAAACTGCTGTTCAGAATTCAGTGGACAAGTTGAGAAGGCCTTTGGACTGTGGCTTCTGAAATGCGTGAGACACGCAGGTGAATCATATGTTTGATGGGTTTCTTTCTTGTTGTGACGTTCACCAAAACAAAAAATGCTAATAATAGCAGCAAAAATATGATGATACTGTAGTGGAGGAAGTATTTCGCCTAACAGGATTATACTTTTCAGTATGAAAAATACAGAATGAGGAGGTCCTCCATTTTACAATCCGTTCCGAATACCTGGAGAGTATATTCTCATTTAAAGCAGACAATAATGAAATCAGTTAAGTGTATGCAGTTACAGAAGTCTAGTTTGGCATCCAAAAATCTATTAACATTGTCTGTCACATCAGTAGACTAGAGATGAAAAACATCCCAATGTCGTATCAACAAGTGCAGAAAAAGCACTGGACAAAATCCAACCCTCATTAAAAGTGCTCTCAGTAATCTGGGAACAGAGAGCAGGAACAGAGGGAGTTTCCTCGACCCTCAGGAGTATTTGCAGTTTGCGCCTGCTGACATCAGGCTGAAATGGTGCCCAGTGTGACTGACCAGTGTCCGCATGAACAGGAGAGCATTTGCACCCTAACTTCACCTTGGGCTTCCCCACTGGGCAGGGCCCCCTCCGAGCCGTGCTCAGCCACCCACCCAAGTGTCACTTCCTCTCTGGCCAGGACTTTGTGAGCTCTACAAACGCAGCCCTTGAGCTGGCTGGCAGAAGGCAGAGGGACTGACTATTGGCGGGGGAGCGGTGCTCAGAGCCAGAGAGAAGGCAGGTGTATTCGGTGCCCTGTGGGCTGAGAGGAGGGCAGGCCTGGCCCAGCAGCTTCCAGACCTCAGCCCCTGCCGCCCGAGAGACGGTCGGTCTCTGCTCTGACTTCTTTTTCCCACTCCACCCTGAGGACACCTTGCTGCCCTGCCGGGGTCCTCAAGGAGGCCCCCACGTGCCTGTCCCGCTTGGCCCTCAGCCACACGTGCCCCTGACACCCCCACGGAGCCCCACCAGGCTTCTGTCCCCCCGAGCTCTCCTCCTCTGCTGTGTCTTCCTGAGCGGGGCACCTGTGTGCCAGCTCCTCCTCGCTGTGCAGCCCAGGGCCGTGTCTGCTGGATTCCCTGCCCGTGCAGTGGTACAGCTCCCTGTTTCCAACCCCCAAGGCGGTGTACGCCCTCTTCCTCCCTGAGTTCAGGCCAATCACTGGGCTGGAGGCTCTGGACGTCGAGTTTTCACCTATCATGACTAACTGTAGGAAGAGGATTAAAAAGCACAAAGACGGCAAGAAGATCCTTAGGTGAAACAGGGCTATACATTAGTATAAATATTGCCATGTTAAAATTCCATAAACAATAAAACATCATGCAATTTAGACAAAAGTTGGAGGAAGCTCCTACTCTTTATCTGACAGGCTGATTTGCTGTCTTTATAAAGAGCTTTTAATAAGAAGAGAAATGCGCACCTGTAATCCCAGATACTTAGGAGGCTGAGGCAGGAGGATTGCAAGTTCAAGCCCAGCCTGGGCAATTTAGCAACTTAGTGAGACCCTGTCTCAAAAAAAAAAAAAAATCATCAGCTATTTTTTCTCTATATGATAATAGTTCTGTTGGGAGCAGTGAGAAATAGAATTCTCTATACTTCTGGTGGGCACATAAATATTTATACTCAGGATAAAAGAAATTGCAGTGTGAAAAATCAATACCATATGCATTTGCAAACAAAATTCTATATACTAGAAAATATAATGCAAGGGAAAAAGGAAAACAGGAAAAGCAATGTTCATAAATTGGATAAATGCCAGTTGGTAAGAGCTTATAGAAATAAAGACTGTTTCAACTTTAGCAGAAAAAGCAGGAGGCTGAGTGCACAGGACAGGTGCTGCCAAGCATGTGAAAGAACCAGGAACTTACATTATCTCTGACCTATCAGAGTAGCTACAATTTGCCACAGCCCCTTAGAAGAGCAGTGTAGTCACGTTTATAAGTTGCATTTATAAGCTCTTTTTGGGGGAGCGGGAAGAAATAGCGATTTCAGAGTTTTCCCGGAGAGCGATTCATGAAATAGCTTGAACATCGTATAAGATTTGGTGGAAAACATAATGTAGAGTTGCCAAATGGCATGATTCCAACTGAGGCGCAGCCGGATGGCGAAGGCGGAGGGAGCAGGGCCGGCCGATCTGGGCCTCGCTGGGCTCTCCTGCCTGCGCTGGGTCAGGCTACCCTGAGCAGGGCAGCGGTGGGTGCTCAGGCTGCACGAGCTGAGCAGGGAGGCGCTCGAGAGTGGACGAAGGGTTCGGGTCTCAGCACTGCCTGGGAGCGAAGTGACAGCAGGAGGGGGCGACAGGGGTGGCTGGGATTTGGGGGCTCTGGCAGCACCGGCGTGGTCAGCAGGGGGACAGAGGCGGCGCCCCACTTGGGGCCAGGGCCCCCTGACCTCG